CTTCCCATCCCACTCCCACCCCGTCACTGAATGCAAAATTCAACCCTTCCATCCCCCAGTCCCAACAATACATTTTGCCCATTGACAGCCCAGTACTTATCAAATTTTTATTTATTGCTGTGATTATTTGAAGTAGTCATTTTCATAATTTATGCATGATTCACTAACAGATTGCAGTTTTTATCTTCATTTCAGAAGGCTCTGTCCCGAGTGCTTTGTTCTTGAGTGCTAACAAGTCTAATTTCTGTGTGCCATTCTTTGTGTGTATGTGTGTGTGAACATTTGTGTGTAATTGTCTTTGCGTGAGCGTTTATGTTCTGATCTTTTTTTCTTCATTCTTTGTGTAAACGTTTCTCTTTTTTCCTTGTCATGCTGTGTGTTGCTTTTCATTTTGCACGTTTTCTTCTAGTGGTTGTCAGTTTGCTTAAGTGTAACTAGACATTTGCATTAATTGATACAACTTAATTTTCTGGACTAGCCCTGTCCATATCGTAATATCCAGAGATCACAATTTTTAATGTAATTAAAGAAGTTCTTACATAACACTTTTAATGGGGATATAGATATTTATAATATCTTTTTAAAGTAAAGAAGGAAAAAATACCTGGGAAATATATTCATTATTGTGTTTACGATACACCTGGTAGCCTAGAATTGCAACTTATGTGAAAGTGAGAGTAATTAAGGGTGTTTTTCAAAGTATAAGAAATGGTTCTCTGCTCCTTCCCAGATTCTGATAAACATGCTTCCTTTGAAGAAATTCGAATCGAAATCACGCGTTAAAAAATTAAAAAACTGTATTTTTTAAATGCAATTTAATGTGTGGCAGAAAAAAGATAGTATGAATGGGCTTAGAATGTTGTTACAGTTACCGACTGTTTTCAGTTATGCTGTCAAGAAACTCTGTGTCTTTGTGATGTAAGGTATGGTTATAAATGATCACATGACAACATTTTCTCAGATTAGCTTGTATTCTTTTATCTTAAGATAACGGGGAAAGGTAGGTCTGGGAGGGGAGGGGAGGGGGTGGGATAGGGAGAATTGATATTAGATAACGATTCGGTTCTAAGTGATTTATGGGTTCTAAAAAGGATTATGGCTCGTTGGAAAGACATTTTTGGTAACACAAATCTTTCAGTTGAAATTTGGCCTTTGCTTCCCCT